ATCCTAATTGATGCTGCTCAGAGTAATCGTAATCCATGGCTGTTATGCCAACAGCGCCGGGGTCGCTGCCTCTCCTCTTGCGCCATGCGCAGGTACTCAGTGGGTGTGGTGCATGTAACACATTTGACCTTCTTTCCCACTCTTTCTTTCTGGATCTTTGGATTCGGGTGTTCCTTTATCCTATATGTAAACAGTTTGTTTGAGCTTGTAAATATGAAAATAGTTGGTTTCAGAAAAAAAAAATGTTTTAAATCTGCAATGTCCCTGTATTGAGTTTGTTTAATAATTGGCTAAATAATAATGTTCAAAGTGTGTGTATGTAAATGTTCATTACAATATACTAGTCAAAAACCACTTTCTATTTGTTGCAGTAATTTTGCAGTAATGCATTTATTGATCAAACAATTAGTGGCTCAACCAATGACCAAACGAATAACAACTAATTGTGACCAAAAACCCACAGTGATATCAATGTTTTATTTCGATGTAAGTACAGGGAACAACTAGCAGAACTTCCATGCCAGACCACAGTGAGTCAATGAAGTGATGCAAGTTACTCTAACAGTTATTAAACTATACTTATTTTGTTGAATGAAAAAATTAACTTCAAGTTGGGACAATGGTTTTTAAGTGTGGAACAGTTGAAAGTAGAATAACTTAAGTAAATTTCAAGCCCTGTGTTTTAATAATATTTTTTTTTGTTCCATCAGTGCGGCAGGTGTGTTACTGCAGGTGAAGATGAATGTCAGACGCCACCTCAGAGAAAAGAACACTATTCCCAAGATCTTTGCTGAAACAGTGCGCCGACACGGGGACAAAACGGCACTGATCTTTGAGGGGACTGGGGAGAGGTGGACCTTCCGACAGCTGGATGAGTACTCCAACAGAGTGGCTAACCTCCTGCTGGAACGGGGTTTCAAGGTAGGAATACAAAACAAAATATTTCAGAATTAGGAGAAAACTCTCTACTCTCTCAGATGTTGTTTCCATCCAGGAGGAGGCATGCTATGACCCCTCTACAGAAACTTGTTAAATAAAAATAAACTTCAGTGAATCAGTTAATGGCAATAAGTTTGACAGCCCCCTTTGTTGTTTCTCTCTTCAGGACGGTGATGTGGTGGCCCTTTTCATGGAGAACAGGTCCCAGTATGTGGGCCTCTGGCTGGGCATGGCTAAGATTGGAGTAGAGGCTGCTCTAATCAACTTCAATTTGAGACTAGAGGCCTTGGTCCACTGTGTCAACATCTCCAATGCCAAGGCTGTGGTGTTTGGCTCGGAGCTGAATGACGGTAAGAGCAGGGAGGATGGAAGAGGGCAGTGGGTAGAGATTAGAGAAGCATCTGAACGATATGTGGCAGATTTTGTTTGTTATAGTAGTGAGAAAGTCATGTTTATAATCAGAAATCAGAACATTGGCTCAGTGGGCTTTGCCGTCTGTACAGCGTTGACTTATGCTGATGAGTGTTGTTATGCTTCTGCTGTGCTGAGAGAGGTAAGTGGTGCGGAGAAAAAGCAACAGAGGTCATAAAATTTTGATGGGATTTGAAGGAGGTGTCTCTTCAATATCAGTGGAGCTTTAAATGGCTGATGGACGGAAAGAAGGGAAGAAGTGATGACGAGGAAAGTGGAGAAGTGTTTCTGTGATCAGTCTGCAGGTCTGAATTGGTCAGAGAATCAGCAAATGAACGATGAACTACAAGATACAGATAACAGATACGAGCATATGGAAAAACTAAAACAACAACATTGCTGATATAAAGCCAGCACTGTTGAGTTACATCAAGTAAATCTCTTGTCTTCATGGATAATAATTACAGCATATATAATTATTAAATATCTCTATAACCAATTTAAGGTCAAGACCAGTATTACATGGGATAAACAAATTAGTTGCCAAGCAGATGTTCAGTGTGCATTCATTTGTGATTTTTCTTGGCAATAAGATTGAAGATTTAAATCAACTATTGCATGATCACATGTGTTTTTGAAGGTCCAAATAGAACTAATTACCTGTTATAATGTCTAATCTATTGACCTGCAGTGCATTATTGAACATACCTTATATTGCTTAGACTTGGGAGGCACCAATAATATAAAATTGCAGCAGGTCAGTAGAATGGTGAAAAATAAATTAGGGATCTATTTCAATCTTCTCCCTGCCCTCCTCTGGGTCCCTGCCCAATCTGAAAAGCCCTGATCTCAACAGCTATAAAGAGTGAATGAGTTTTGAGCTGTTCATCCTGGGATTGATGGAACAGTCTTTGTATTGGATCCTGGACTTGTCATGTGCTTTATGCCTTTAAGTAATTGGAAACGCAGCCTCGTTGCTACTGAGCAGGCCAAAGTCGAGCCAGTAGCCATTAGTACTGAGCCAGCATGACATAAGGCTTTTAAATTAAGAGGACGTCTTTTTAGGGGGGAAATATAAAAGCTTTTTCAATTTGTTGTTTCCTCCCTTCTGTGTGCTTCACACACAGTCACATATTCATACTTTGTGGCAGTTTTGTCACACTGTACTTCCTCTCTTCCAAGATATTGCACTTTTCTCTGTTACTTCCCCACCTTCAACCTGATACCCAAAGTTATTTAAACCTACTCTGTCCCCTATTACCCTGCCTCGTACCACCTTTCTTCCCTGTTTACTATTGTACCACTTTTCTTTTTGTCTTTGTCTATAATAGTTCCAGTTTGCGGTTCTTAGCTATCTTACCATATAAAGTCTTCTTACAATTTTGTATAGTAGAATAAATGTCAGTAATTTACTGTGTTTCTCTTAATCTCATAGCGATGTGTGAGATCCACAATTCAATGGGAAAGGCAGTGCAGATGTTTTGCTGTGGAGACTGGGATGCCAAACGAGTCCCACAGGGAACCGAATGCCTAGAGCCCCTGCTGGACGCTGCCCCATCTCATCTGCCAAGCCGGCCACAACGCTGCTTCACAGGTGAGAATGCCATGCCCCATTATACCTCTCATAACCTATCCAGATTCCCAGAGTTTCCCAACAATTATAATAGTTCTAAGTAGGGATGCACGATATATCGG